CGGTCCAGGGCGCTGTCCAGCACCAGCGAATAGTAATTCTTGAACGTCGACACGACCTTGAAAGGTACGTTGGGCGTTAGAGAACAGATCACTTGTCCGTTGGCACCGGAGTCACGGTCGGATACACTGATCAGCGCAATGACCGTGCTGGGCTGAGTGTCCTCTCGTACAGGGAGAGACAGGGAAGTCAAGGTGACTTCAGGGGCATTGTCATTGGCGTCTAAGATCTCTACCCAGACTGTACAGTGACTTGCCATTGGGGGATTCCCTTTATCTGTAGCCTGTACTTCAATTTCATAAAACTTGTTTTCTTCATAATCTAAAGTTCCATTTACCCTCACTTCTCCGCTATTTTCATCTAGTGTAAATAAGAGTTTTCCATTGGGTTTAACTGACATCAAGGAGTATGTTACCTCTCCATTGACTCCTTCATCTCGATCTGTGGCGTTTAGCTTTATCACAAAAGTTTCTTTAGCTGCGTTTTCCATCAATCTCACCTTGTATTCTGATTGCTCAAATTCTGGATCATTGTCGTTAACATCCAAGACGTGGATGAAAAGCTGAACGGTGCCAGTGAGCTCTGGTTTTCCCCCGTCTGCAGCTGTCAGTAGCAAATTAAGTTCTGGAGTTTTCTCTCGATCCAGATATTTCTTTAATGTAAGCGACAGTCTTTTAGTCTGCTTACTATGTGTTGGTAGTTGTAAAGAAAAATACTCATTTTGACTTAGTCTGTAGGTCAATAGAGCATTCTCTCCTATATCTGCATCAGAAGCTCCCTCTAGAGGAAAATTAGATTCGGGTTGCTTAGATTCAGGAATCAGCAGCTTTTGTTCTCTGAGAAAGAACACTGGTGGATTGTCGTTAATATCTCTTATTTCCACTTCCACATGGAAAACCTGCAGCGGCCTGTCCACGATCACCTCCAGGTAGATGCTGCACACTGCGCTCTGTCCGCAGAGCTCCTCCCGGTCGATCCGAGAATTCACAAACAAAATGCCATTCTGCAGATTTACCTCCAGAAGGTCCCCGCGGCCTTTGGACGCCACCCGGAAAAGGCGCGGCACCAGCTCTGCCAGCTCCAGCCCTAGGTCCTGGGCAATTCGGCCCACGAAAGTGCCGTGTTTGGCCTCTTCCTGGACCGAGTAGTGGACCTGGCCGCTCCCAGCTTCCCAGACTGTGAGCAGCAGAAGTGACAGCAGCAGACGCCGAGCGCGCAATCCCCTTCTTTGAGAGTCAAACATCGCATACGACATTGACTTCCAAAATAAGGTTCTCACACTTACAGTACCAGAGACTCCAGTTAAGGGTTAAAAATCTAGCTGAATTTTTGAGAAGTTTCAAAGAATCCTTTAACAGTAGCGTTAGGCATGATGGAGTCGTTTTTGTACGGGGCGTTCCTGGCTGGTCAGACCAACCCTTGAAAGAACTACTTCCACCAAGTAAAGAGCGACACCTTGCGCCTGAATAGTGAGTACTGTACACTACACCATACATTATAGAATTTTACTTAAAGAGAAAAATATAATAAACTTCACACCTTTCGTATTATTTTACTCCGAAAATAATATTTCCAAAGTGCTTATTTAGGGAACACTCGTATTATAAGTTATATTGAAACCGATGGTATGTGGAAAATGGCATTTTATTCTTAATATGAAATTGAAATTTTTGTTCCTATGTTTGATTTAGAGTTATAAAATTGTTATTTTACTTATCTACATAAATACACACAGACTTTAATTCTCCAGGTAGCCTTATGAAAAGGTAGGGTTAAACATTTCCTAAAGATACTACTTCTCATATCAAAATGTTATCCAATTTGAATTGTTTTACTTCTAGTCTCTCTTGTTACTTTGGCTGCTAGGAAACTCAAAGACCATTTTGAGATTTTAATAACAACTCTTTAGTCTTTAAGTTCTGCATGTTGTGTTCTTATCTATGTGCACTTGCCTTCTATTCATATCTATTTAATTCCAATTATTTTTGTTATATACATTTGTTTTTGTTACAATCCTATATCCTTTGAAAAACAAAAATATTTTTCAAATTTAATGTTTAAAACAGAATTCATAATGGAAACATCTATGGATGTAGATGAAATTATATTTGACACACATGGTTTATCAGGTAAGTTTCATTGTTAACAGTATTATGTGAGGTATCAAAAATTATGTGAGGAATCAAAATGTGAGGTATCAAAACCTTTATGTTAATGATATAGAAGGTGTCTTTCAATTATAAAATAAATTTTATTATAATTCAATGAAATAAATAAAAACCACCATGAAAATGTGTGTGCCATATTGGTATTTCCAAGTCACCAACATTGGTTTATGTATATCTGTCAAGATATATACATGAAAATAGCTGACCTGTTCCTTGTTGAAACAATTCTGGGTTTGGGATCATAAGTTCATCCATAACAAGGGAAATAATTTCTAATTAACTCCTGTAAGTACCTAATACTGTGCTAAATATATATGGAGAAAATAACCAAACAATTCAACCAAATGACAAATGACTTTACTGTTTGTGTAAATTCAATTTCATAAAACACCAAGTAGAAAATGGGAATTATTGATACAAGTTTTCATTGCATGAAGATGTAATTTGCTTATGTGTCTTCTGTCTTTTCATATAGACTTGGAATTAAAGGAGTCAAAAGAGAATATAATGGAAGTTTAAAGTAGAAAGTTATTTAGAATAAAGATCATTATAGCTTGAGTATTTTGTGTAGGATTTAATTTTTTTTTAATGTTTATTTTTGAGAGAGAGAGTGACACAGAATCTGAACCAAGCTCCAGGCTCTGAGCTGTTAGCACACAGCCTGACATGACCACAGCCTGACCCACAAACTGTGAGATCATGACCTGAGCCAAAGTTGGATGTTTAACTGACTGAGCAACCCGGGCACCGCTTGTTGTATGATTTTGCTGATTCATCTCTGATTTAAAAATATTTAAAAAGAGGTTAGAGAAGGAAGGAGCCAAAACACAAGATACTCTTAAAAACTGAAAACAAACTGAGGGTTGATGGAGGGTGGGAGATGGGTACTGAAGAGGGCACCTGTTGGTATGAGCACTGGGTGTTGTATGGAAACCAATTTAACAATAAATTTCATATTTAAATAAATAAATAAATAAATAAATAAATAAATAAATAAAACCTTTTGAAATGTTACAATATAACAGGCCCACATCTAAAAAATAATAATAAATAAATAATAAATAAAAATATTTAAATGGCATACAAAAATTACTAGTACATGTATATGTATGTTAGTATTTTTCTTTATCTTGAACACACACACACATATATATACACTATGGCTGATATTATCATCCTGTTAGAACTCTTAGTAAATGCAAAATTCCTTCTTAAGAAACTAATAAAGCAGGTGTTGTATGGAAACCAATTTGACAATAAATTTCATATTTTAAAAAATGACAAAATCAAAAATTAGTAAAGCAGACTCTTCACTTTTTATAACACTGAATTTTCTTATGCATGTGTGAAGCAATCAGTTATAAGGGCCTCTAATCAAAATATAACATTAGATTACATTAACAGTAGATTTAACATGCTATCTGAAACATGTTAGATTTATTTTGGAGAAAAAGGAAGCAAGAGATCTCCAATCATTTCATTACAGAAATTGGGGATTGCAACGTTGCATGCAATATGGAGTCCTGAAAGGTAGATAAAGAGATAAACATCAGAAAGGTTACCCAAGCTAGATAATATTACGTCTGAATTAAAACCAGATGTCATTTTACTAATTACTCTCCAGTAATATGTAGTGGGGTTTTTTTTGAGTTTCTGAAAGGATATAAGATGAACACCAAGTCACAAAAGAGTTTGATATAGGGCTGCCTGAGTATCTCAATCAGTTAAGCATCCAAGTCTTAATTTCAACTCAGGTCATGATCTCATGGTTGTAAAATCATGTCCCATGTCAGGCTCTGCACTGACAGTGCAGAGCCTACTTGGGATTCTCTCTCTCCCTCTCTCTCTGCCCCCCCCCCACTCGCTCTCTTTCTCTAAAAATAAACACTTTTTAAAAAGAGTTGATGTGTTGTATAAACCAATGACCCATCTTTTGCATTTTGGCTGTGATATTTCAGGTATCACCATCTCAACTAGCTCATATAAAAGAGATCATACTATCTTTGAATTCATCTTTGGGGATGGGCTCAAGATCTGGCAATAAGCTAATGTCAAGAAGTTCATATCAATATTGTTCTTAACATTGATTCGGTAAAATTGATTGAAAGGAACTTTGTGCCTGACCTTTACTAAGCCAATCTGATTAGTATTAAGTTTCAACTGTACGTCCTGCTAGCCATATATTAGAGTGCATGATTTAATGTTCTTCTAGTCTTCATAATCCACTAATATAGCATAACAAGTCTGGTAACACTATTATTGAAAACATAAAACAGAGAAACTAATCTTGAAACATACTTAGAAACCCAGGAGGTTCTTAAAAATAAATGGATTAGAAGTAGTAGTCAACATTGTATTATCAAAATTATAGGATATACTCATGGATGTTCACTCTTTGCTATCATTGCTCATTAAAGTATACACAGTTATTTGATCACAGATCATTTGTCCAGTGAGCACAAATCTTACAGATAACAAGACTGAAGAAGACTGAATTCTGAAAAACCCACACACATTCAAAGATTTTCAGGGCAATATACACCTTAAAGCTGTTACTGAAGTATGACATTTTGGAAACACGTATTGAATCCTTTGTGGATGTTCAGGATCCTGGAAATAATCATATTATCACTTATATTTGTCCAAAACATCCTTATTCATAGCATGAAAAGGGCAGGGTCATTTTCATATTTGTCATTTGGCTTTAGTGTTTTGCTAGAACATTGCAGATCAGAATCTTATGGATTTTCTCACATATTAAATAATTCTTATTTATATTACTTCCAAAAATATATATATAGTCTTTACAATGGCAATTCTTCATTACCTACTGATTGAATAATATAAATACCTATCCCAATGTGGCATGAAGACATGATAATGTGATCAGAAACTCTTCTGAGAAAAAAATCACTTAACATTAAAAAACTCAATTCTGATCTCAATTATGACATTCTACAAAATTAAATATGACAATAACCATGAAGGCTTTTTCTTAAGCAAAACAGAAAGAAGGATTCACTTGTAAACAGTTTGTGCTTGACCTTCCTAGCCAAAACTATGCCTGATCAAAGAAAAGATTTACTGTAGTAAGCTGTATGGTGAATAAAAGAATGGCTCTGGAATCAAAAGATATGCATTTGAGTTTTAACTTTATCATGTGCTAGCTGAATGGCAGTAGACAAGCTACACAAATATCTTCTCATCGCTTAGTTCATCTTTAAAATTCAGTGGGACGCCTGGGTGGCGCAGTCGGTTAAGCGTCGGACTTCAGCCGGGTCACGATCTCGCGGTCCGGGAGTTCGAGCCCCGCGTCAGGCTCTGGGCTGATGGCTCAGAGCCTGGAGCCTGTTTCCAATTCTGTGTCTCCCTCTCTCTCTGCCCCTCCCCCGTTCATGCTCTGTCTCTCTCTGTCCCCCCAAAAAATAAATAAACGTTTAAAAAAATAAAAAAAAATAAAATAAAATTCAGGTAGTCACGCGTACTTTACAAGTTGTTATAAAGATTAAATAAAATTATATATTTTAAGTCTTTTCATATTGTCTAATAAACTGAAATAGTTCAAATAGTAGTGGTTTATTTATAACTAGTGACTTTGTTCTTGTTCTATTTTGTAGCTTTGGAGGAAGAGAATTTCAGTGTGATATACTAGGCCCTGGTTTTTCCTTTTCTGAAGATTTCCTAATGTTCATCTTCATAGAAATCATCTTTTTTTTCCTGGGTATAAAATGGTCACTAATGACGTCTCACCATTTCTATTAACTTCACCCTATTCATAACATCATTCTACTCCATATATAAATATATATAACTTATTTTTCACACAATATAGTTAAAAGATCTCTAACTTGTACACTGGAGCAAAAAAAAATAATAATAATAAACTTTTACATCAGAGAGACAGAGAGAGAGAGGGAGGGACAGAATCTGAAGCAGGCTCCACGATGCCAGAGCAGAGCCTGATGCAGGGCTCAAACTCAGGAAGTGACAGATCATGACCTGAGATGAGATGGAGTCAGAGGCTTATCCAACAGAGCTACCCAGGCACCCCCTCTGTGATTCTTTAAGCAATTCACATAAATATAGCTTTTGGGCAAAAAAAAAGTTTGCATCAAATGTATCTACAGTATACAATGTTAAATTGTGAAATGTGATCAACATCATTGTCAAATAGAAGTGCCTTTGTGTATATTCCATGGTTGTTATGCATAAGCTGTTTAAACCAAAGTCATTTCAATGACCAAGTGGCTTGGGGAACACATGAATCAGTATCACCTTTCCCCATTATGGGAACACTCTCTTAAACTCAAAACACAAAGGAGTGTGATTTTTTCTACCCTACCCTAAAAAATTTCCATACAGCCTCATAATGAGTCCCATGAATGTAAGAAGCATAAATATGATCAAATATAAAAGAAATCTTCCAAATAAAGTAAATGGAAATCAATGAATTAATATGGAGGACAGCAGCAATAGATTCACCAGGCAATTAGCAAAACTGAAATTATATTGAGAAGTAAAGAAAAGGGCACCTGGGTGGCTCAGTTGGTTGAGCAACTGACTTTGGTTCAAGTCATGGTCTTGCCATTTGGTGTTCAGTTCGTTAAGTTCAAGCCCCACATCAGGCTCACTGATGTCAACACAGAGCCCTCTTGGGATCCTCTGTCCCCTTCTGTTTGCCCCTGCCCGGCTTGTGCTCTCTCAAAAACAAACATAAAAAAAAAAGAATTACATAAAAAATGTAGTTTATCTGAAGCAGCTGAAGAGTATGAAGAAAATAATCTTGAAATTGTGAGAGACTTAAAGACAAAAAAGTAAAGTCCTCTTCAAAGGTAAGGCTGAAACTTCACCCAGTATCTCAAAGAAGCATGCCATTGATGATAAAGAAACGAAATTATTTATAAAAGGAAGCCACCTCAACAGCCCATGCCCATTAGTAATAAGCATATAGTTTATAGAGAAGTAAGGATTTAAATAGATTTCAAACTCAAAATAACTAAATTATGAAGTTATGCATTATTATGGTAATTTTGAATACATTTAATATAATTAGTGGAGGACATCAATTAGAATAAGAAAATAAATAGGAAGAATGAACTTGCTGCAAAGTTGAAAACTAGAAGATGTAAGCTTTGCCCATATCCTCCACTTCCCATGAGTGATCCTTGCTTTCTTTACAGGAGGATTTAACCTTTTTCATTTATAGAAAGTGTTAGCCATCTGTTTCATTATTGCAATTACTACCACTCTCATTATTTCCAGCAAATTATGTTCCAGTCATGTTCATGAAGACTGTAGTGAAAAGTAATGAAAACGGATGGACTTCCAATGTGCTTTAAAATAAACCACCCCAAGGGAAAATACCAGAAACAAATAAATGAAGTAATAAATTTACAATAATATTGCTGAACATACTATGCAATTGACATCAAAAGGCATAAAATATGTTCCAGAATTACTGTACTTACATCATTCCCGAAAATATCCCGTTGTTCTCCACTATCTCCAGAACTTGAACCGGGAGGAACACAAGGGCTGAAGGCCATGAGGTCGGTCTTGGGCGGACCCTCCCCAGAGCACACCCTCTGCCGCCTCTGCTGCGAGTACGACCAGCTCCCCACCGCGCTGGAACACACCAGCGTGGGCTTCCCCGGCCCGCACGCGCCCTCGCTGGGCGGCGCCGAGCACCGCAGCGCCACGTACAGCAGCAGCGTGAGCACCAGCAGGCTGGACACCGCGCAGATGGCGATGATCAGGTACACGTTGACATCCACCAGC